TTATTCGGTATGCGGTTCATCCTCACTTCATTTGGTCTTTTATGGAAACTGCGAACGCACTGTTGCTTGCTTCGTCAGTTATGAATCACGGGCTAAATTAATTTTTCAGGGTAAAAGAAGCAGATTGGCAGTCTGTTGCTTATGTGAAAAGGTGTCTTTTTGAAAAAAAAAATATCAAGGAATTGATGGCAAAGGATATTTGCGTTGATGTTGTGGTAGTGGCTTGTGTAGACCATGTTTGTTTCAGTACGTAGTCCTGCATAGAAGCACTACCTCTGCAGACTAAAGTCACTGCATTATGTTGCACTGATGTGTTCTTTCTTCTTTTTGTTTTTCTCCCAAGATTTGGTGTTTCATCTTTTCTGAATAAGAATACACTAGATTATGGATATTTTTAGTGAATAAGAAGTGCAATAGTTATTATGACTTGAATCTCGAATGCCAGTGTCGTAATTAATTAGATTCTTGGAGCCTAGTTCAATCTCGCATGCTCTTCTACCGATTGAAAGCATTCAGTCATGCTCCCATGTGAAAAGAGGAGGGGTAAGAGGGAGCATGTTAAAACTGCTCTATTTTAAATCTTTTTTCATTGTAGTTCATATACCTCTCCATCCATCACTCATCTATCATTTTTTTTTAATAACTCAACTCAACTGTAGTTTGCCAGTAACTAGTTTCAAAATGTTTTGAAGATGCCACTTGCATGCAGGAAGAAAAAATAGTATACGGAATTACTGAGAAGAACCTACCATGCCCGGCCCTACTGTGATTTCAGCGTACTTTATGGTATACTAACAAGTATCTACATTGCCTCTATTTCTTTACCTGGGCCCCTAATATAATTTCAGCTGTAGTTAATGGTATAGTAGTAAGCACTTACGATGCCCCTATTTTATTTACCTGGGCCTCTAGTATAATTTTAGCTCTATTTGGTCTTTCGAAATGGTGTATGTGTGGAAATAAAGAACTATGCCTGTCGTTCTATCATTCTGCGAATTAGTCAATTTTGTAGTTTTTTTCTTTTCCTCAGTGATATGCCAATATGTTTCAGCTCAGCACATGGAGTAATTAGATGGTCCTTCTCCCGTGATTTACTAGATTGTCAGCAATGATTCAAAGGTTAGTTCCTTTAATGTGACATGGATGTGGAGAAAAGTATCAACCTATTTAAGCAGGCAGTGTAACAAGCATAAGTAGTTAGTGACCCAGACAAAGAAACTCACTAAAGAGATGGCAGTAGTCTTGGTGAGCGCTCTGAATCTACAAATTCCTTGAGCCATTTTTACATTATGCAAGCATAATAGAAGAGGTAAAATGTAGACACTTTTAGGCACATACTCCAAATATGCCTGACATTAGCTCCAGATCTGTAATTAACAGTATGCCAACTACACATAGCATTTGAGACAAAAAAAATATAGACACAAAATGGGAGCTCAATTGCCAGACACTTTGAACTTCAAATATCATAAAGTTAAATATGAAAAGGTAAATTTCTGCATGATGCTTCCGCAATTTCTGTTATCATCTAGTTTAATTCTCTGTATGTATATGCTATATATAAGTAAAAATATGCATGCATTTTTTTCCTGTAGGGAATTGCATTCCTCCATTTCTGTTATCATCTAATTTAATTCTATGTATGTATAAGTAAAAATCTGCATACGTGCTTTTATCTAGAAAAGAGGATTGCTCTATTTATCTCGGACCATCATGTCTCATTCACTGGGTTGTTGGTAAGAATCTCTATCCATGTTTTAATGTTTTTTGACTACAGTTTGTAGTTGTAAAATCTGTCATTAAGCTTCAACAGTTCACTCTGCAAGCTTCTTTCAAGTGCGGTCGCCTGAGATTACCCCATTGGCTTTGACTAAGAGTTCACTTAATTGTTAGGTTGCTCATTCTAAACTTCATGATTCTGCATGCGAGCAAAGGATGTGATAAGCGCAGTTTTGTCTCTAGTTTTGTAGACTTTATTCATCATGACGATTTGATGGAGCTTGAACAATGGGTATCTTCAAGGGAGGTTTCAGGAAGACTGCAAGATGCTAGGCATCAAACATTTTGAGTTCGGTTTAGCAAGACCATTATATGTCGCCTTGTAACATTATCAAGTCAGTTTCGGTGCATATAGCGCAGTGTAACATTATCAAGTCAGTTTGTTTCTGTAATTATACGTCGCCTTGTCCATATGTGTTACCCCAACCATCAGTATTTTGCATGATGCACTAGGTAATTTTTGTTCAGAAATCCTAATTGTGTATCTGCTTAGTTGGCTGGTAGCATCATTACCTGACAGGCTTCAGACACATTCTTATAGAACCTTAATTGTCATTGAAAAAAAACCTATAACCTTAATGAGCTATTTTATTCTTCAACACTATAATTTTGTTGCAGGGCTCACTGGAAATCTGTGGCAGAGCTCAGCCACCAGCTCCATCTACTCGCACGAACAACAAATTTTGCACACATGCATGCAACTGTATTTGCTTTCGTCCCAATAATTGGAAAGATAATACTAATCTCCTTGACTTCACCGAGAATTGCAGTATATGACGCTGGTAAAAATCGTCTCGTCAATTCTTTAACAGAATTACGAGTCAGGTTGCAAAACAATTATCTGAAACTTACCTTCTCTCACCATCCACGCCTTAACTTTACCTCGAGCACGCCTGGCAAGCAGGACAAATTACTCGGCTCCATGTTGTAATTTTACCTTGTAAGCGTTTTGTCTTTATGGTGGATGTGGCGACCACTCGATTGTAATTTTACCTCACACAGCTTTTGGTTCTTACGGTGGTTGTGGTGTGGTATGGCGTGTGTGGCTCCTACGGGGTGGCTGCTGGGGTGAGGACTCAGGTAGGGAGTACCTTCTGCTTGGCGGGTAAAAAGGTAAACTGATTCATATTTTATTCTCATATCAGTGCATCACGGCTGATATTTGACTCAATCGCTAGAACCCTAATTCTTCTCTCTAAAAAAACTCCTAATTCTTCATTAGGATAGGCGCCGGAGCCAGTTTGGTCAGCCCGCGTACAAAAGACAGGCGGCTATAGGGCCACGAATTAGTTGGAATGGCATCGAGTGGGAAAGGTCGCCGACCAGGGCTGGGCGGCAGCGGCGCCACCGCCACGGCGCATACGATTTGCGAGAGCCATCTTTCTCGTTCAATTGGATAACTAGGGCGAGGCAGGATCATCAAACTAGTCGGAGATCTATCACGTCAGCACTGTAGATATAGAAATATGCAGCTGATTTGACCAACTGGATTCAAGATGGAAGGACGGGACCAACTGCTTTGATTAGACTCTGTCAGAGGGATCAAGTGTTGAGCGAACTTCTTGCGAGGCTGATATCTCTTGCGTATATGCAACAAGAATGTATATTTATGTTTTAATTTCCTTTGTATACATGTTAGAGATTTTGTGTGGAATTCGAGAACTTGTAGCCAGGTTTTGTTTGATCGGTAACTGCTATCCACTCACTCTCGATCGAATATCATGCCAGGCAGGAATGGCGCGGTCGTCATGGAGACAGATCTGTTCTAATGTGATAGCGGCTGCGTTGGTGATAGGACGGTGGTCTAATTAGAAAGCAGAAAAGGACCTAATTCAGAGGAGAAAGGACTAAACTACCCTTCTAAGTGAAGGGTCAGATTTTAGTGGTACTCCATCTCTGCTGGAGGGAGTACAAGGGTACCGTAAAACTACTTTATCTCAGATTTTAGTGGTACTCCATCTAATATCTTTTGTTGTATTAGATCTTCTTCCGGATTAATAAAAATCGGTTAGGGTAAAACATATTTGCTATTTCAATGTAATCACATGTATATATCAGCAACAAGATTGAAAATAATATTTTCTTATTATATGTTAAGATCAAATTATTATGTACTCCAATTTTTTTTTGTGGACTGTTACTTCATCGCACACATTGATAGGCGTAATTATCTTTATTCATAGAACTAATAATGTTTTCGTTATATAGAACTGTGGCGGTGGCCTTGTTGTTATTTTCTTTTGCTCCGGCTGTGGCGGCCCAAATAAATTGGTCCTGCCTCCTTGCCTAGGCGGCGGTGAGGTTGTGATGGAGGTGGAAGCTAGAGGACGCTGCTTAGTTGTGGAAGCTAGAAGACAGAGCCCAGCCCTCACCTTTTGCAACGTCGGCGGACTCCGGCCTGATGAGCAACTTGGAGGGTGTTGTTCACAGTGGCGGATCTAAAATTCAACCAATGTGGGGGCAACATTACAAAGGATTGAAGTTTTAGAGTATTTAGGCTGCACCAAAGTTAATATAATGGATATTTACATATGCATGCACTAGTAAAAAAACTTTTTGCAAAATGCTTGTGGGGTTCATGGCCCCCATGACCCCCACACTCGATCCGCCCATGGTTGTTCAACGGTCCACAGTAGCCTATAGGCATTAGGGAGGGCAAATGCGGCCTGTGGGCCTCGTCCAGTCATGCACGTTCCTGCTTGAGTTCCGAGTGGCACCCGGAGGAGGTTGAGGTCCTATGTGATGTGAGGAGGAAGACAGCTCGATGGCCTTATTGTTATTTTCCTTTTTCCAAGGGTTCTTATGCAATTGTTCCACTGCTTGTACTCAAATCTTCTATATCTAAATAACTAGCCCCATTAACTATTTATCTCAACAAGCAAGCATGCCACATCATCCCACAACAGGCATTAGAAAAGGCCCACCCCACTATCATAAGTCTCTCATGCAAACATGGCACTTCATCATTAAACATGCATGAAAATTATGATTCATTTCAACATGCAAACATACATAAGAATTTCCATTATGTTAAGCTATTTATATTTAATAAAAAATTTACAAACTATATAGCAATCAAACATAATAAATTATATGTATTTTCAGTTTTAGCTTTTTATGTTATTACTTCAAATATTCATGTTTCATATCAATCATATTGAAATATGTTGCAAAATATTCCTGCAATAACGTGCGGGGTATCATCTAGTTTTCCTTAAAGCTTAATACAGGGTATTTTCGCAAAAAAGGAAAAAGAAAAAAGAAGAAGCATGGTTAAGAGTTACCTTGCGTGTTGGCTCAGCCTCAAAATCATCAATCATGTCGGCGATGCCAATGCCATACATGGCGTCCTTGAGACGATTGAGCCACAAACGCATGGAATTGTTGGTGTTGGCTTGCTCAGCGTCCTGTAGGAGCGCCTCAATGGACTCAAGGGTAGCCTTCATCTCGTTCAGGTCCTTGTCCAAGTTCTGCTGCAGCTTGATCTGACCTCCCACCAACGAACCAATCCGCTGCACCACCTCCTTCAAAAGTGCTGCGGCAATCATGGCCCCTATGCCCGCCATGGCTCCTGCTCGAGCTGCTCGCGCTTCTATCTTGTCGATGTGTGGGATGCGCAGAAGAGGGGTGGGTGGGGGTAATGGGGATACGACCTTCCTGGTGGCGTGCTCGACTGGATCTTATCGTCACAGCAATTGCCAAGAAGTTTCCTTCTTTCCATAATAATATCTGTCATGTCAGCTCCCCCTAGCTAGGCATCTTCCTAACGATTTCTTTGGCTTGATTCCTGTGAGCTATGCTTTATCTTGTACTCTTTCCGTTCCAAAATAGATGACCCAACTTTATACTAACTTTAGTACAAAGTTGGGTCATCTATTTTGGAACGGAGTGAGTAGTAAATTGGACAATATACTCGGTATTTCATAACTTATGATAAGGTGATTGTGGATCTTGGTTTGATGCTATAGGTGCAATGGTTAGTAGTTGGTTAAGTGCAGTGGATGCGTTAGGTACAAGACTAATTTACTACGGGACCTAAATTAATTAACCATTAAACAAACTCTCTGCTGTTAGGTACTGCGTGAGGCAAAAGAATAAACAAAAGAGGTGATAACAGAACAGAGTTACTACCTTTACCAACTCTCTGCTGTTGTTGTTGCCCGCCGCCGCCGCTGACATGGACGGAGTGACGGCTTGCCAGCGAGCGGTGGTGGTGAGATTCCTGAGACTCACTTCGCCGGCTAGGAGCGGCCATCGCAAGGGGTGCGGCGGGGCTTGTGATTTATAATCTGCTCACACATAGATTCAGACTTACCAAAGTTCAGTTCTCTGAATAATTCTGACCGTTAGCGTGTGTCTGTGCCAATGTTTTAAATAGCGGGCTATGGCACATAGCGGCAGACCTCAAAAATCAGATGTAGCGGGCTATTTGTACATGAGACCATTTAGCGGCACCCCGTTAAAAAGACTATAGCCTGTCGGCTAATTAAAACTATGGTCTGTGGGCGTACGGTTCAATTAGCATTCTTTCCTTCGGTTAGTTAGCTAGTATTCAGCTCGCCGTAGGAATCGCCATGGGATGGCACTGGTCACGTATTCCTATCCTCGGGCATGAAGGGCTCTGCACGTTCAAGCGTCGTTTGATGACACGGCCTGTAAGATCGGCGCGCATGACCATTTCTTGCTTGCTTTAAGAGCTCTTTGGAGTTCAGATAAATAAGAAACATAACAGAAAAGCTGCAAGTTGTTACAGCAGCGCAAAACCAGTGTCTTGTACCTTTGGCTCTCTCTCGATTGCTCTCTCTTGTGTTGTGCTTGCAGGTCTCTGCAACAACAAGTAGCATCAGAGCCTCGGTGGTGTATGATCTATCCTAGGCGCCGGCGGTTTCTGATCCAGCGAAGAGATGGCCGGCAACGACGGTGAGAAGACAAAGAAGCAACAAGAGGAAGAGAAGTCCACAGCAGAGGTGGCGGCTCTGGAAAAAACCCTGGTGCATCTCTACACGGAGGAGGGATCGGGGGTGCGCGTCGTCAAGCATGTTGTGCACGGTGACGGCGGGAGCATGCCTCCAATGATGCTCACATGAACAAATTACTCCGACTGGGCCATGATCACCAAGCTGCAACTCCAGGCCGACGAGCTGTGGCGCGTGGTGGAAGAAGATCACATTCCAATCCGTCTCCACCTTCCTCTTCCCTCGCGGACCGACATGGCCTGGCAGAAGAAGACCACATACGCTATGTTAAGACCGGAGCGCTGCTTCTAGATCGAGGAGGAGATCCGGGCGAGGCGCGCCGCCCGGATCACAGTAGGCCTGCCTCCGGACTCGCCGGAGACGGAGGAGGAGGGGGAGGAGAAGGGGAAGCAATGGGATTGTTAACTATGTAGACTGTAGTCGGTCATAATGTTGTTGGTGGCACAATAAACAATAATTCTTTCTCTCTTTTTCATGGGAAAGCCATAATTCAGTCATTAATCATTAGTCATACACAACATGGTCTTAGCAGCCCAAGGAACGCAAACCCAACCTCCTAGCTGGGAGCCCACAACCCACGCTAGAGCAAAGGTAAATGAGAGAAGATCCACTAGGAGCCGACAATTCCTATGTGACGCATTGAGCATCAAAATGTCATTCTTTCACAAAACGAGGGGTGCCAATGATGTAAATTGGCCGTCAATGTTAGATAGCAAACATACTACAGCATCCTGTTTTGGGAGCCCTGGTTCCATATCGTTTTTTTTTTGTTCTCTTTGCAGGTTTATTTTGGGTTTTCTTTATTTTTCACTTGATCTTCATATTCTCTTCGAAAATCAAAATATGCTCAGAATTACGGAACATGTTCACAAATTTCAAAAATATTAAGGTTTTTAGAAAATATTTCCTATTTATAAAAAAATATCAAAACACTGAAGAATTGTTTGAGTTTGCAAAAAATGTTCACAAATTTAGAAAATGGTAAAAATTGTGAAAACATGTATTCAGCTTTTCAAAAAATATTTGCATGTTGAAAAAAATTCAACTTTAAAAATTGTTCATAAATTTGAAAAATACTTCATGCATTCAAAGAATGTTAAGAACTTTGGAAACAAATTGCATTTAAAAATGTCCTCAAAAACAGTTTGTACATTTGAAAATTCGTCAAAATTATAAAAAATGCTCATATTTGGAAAAAATATTCACAAATTTTAAATAATTTTCGTATTGTTTTTAAATCAAGTTTTCTTTCGAAAACTTTTCAGAGGAAACGGTAGGTACAATAACCGAGTTGCTACATTGCGACAATCTGAAGACTAGTCAGTCTTAGAGTATAAGTATATTCGTATTGTAATCTATCTCTATTAGTCTAGTCTTGAAGTTCAAGCTTTGTAATCTATATAAACAGCCCTTGAGGCCCCGATCAATACAACACTTACTTCTCCAATATCTCAATCTATCATGGTATCCGACGCCTAGGTTTTCCGCACCTGGTATGGCTCCGCCACCTGCGCCGCCGCCCCGGCCGATTCAGCCCCTCTTCTCCATGGCCGAGTTCCGCGCCGCCGGTGCCCCACCCCCTACCTCCTCCTCTACAACTACTCAAACACCTCCCCCTCCAAACCCTATGTTCTCCCTAGCCGACACCATTGCCGACATCTCTCCCTTCATACCAATCTCATTAGACCTCGACATCCACAACTACTACCATTGGCGCCACCTCTTCATCATCCATCTCGGGCGCTGCGGCCTACGCCACCACATTGATCCCTTCTACCCGCCACGGCCCGCTGATCCTCGCTGGGTGAAAGATGATCTCGCCATCATCCAGTGGATTTACACACGCATCTCCACGGAGCTTTTCAATCTGGTGTCCGACGATGACGCCACCGCCGCCGATCTCTGGGCTTCCCTTCAACAGCTGTTTCAGGACTACTCCGACGCGCGAATCAACGCGCTCAACACCGAGCTACGCACAACCATGCAGGGAGATCTTCTGCCAGCGAATCAAGGCTATTGGCGATGAACTCCATGAACTTGGGGATCACGTCGAGGATCGCACTCTCATCAACGCCCTCCTCCAAGGTCTCGGCGATCAATTCGAGAAGCAGCAGTCCTTCATCCCCATGCTCAAGCCGTACCCCACCTTCAAGGAAGTCCGCTCGATCCTCCAGCAAGAAGAGAAGAACCAGGCTCGCAAGGCGTAACGGGCGCCGCAGGTGTTTCATGCTGCCGCACCCTCTTCTGCAGCTCCCACGCCTGGGCTGCCGCGGCAACCGACCGCCCCTCCAACTCCTGCTGTGGCTGCCGCGGCCTCAACACCACCACAAGGCTGGCGCCCGAGTCCCAACTACAAGGGCAAGAATCCCGTCTACCGGCCTCCTGCATCTCGTCCTGCCGGACCTGCACCAGCCTCGTCATCCACCGCTCCCGCGCCACCAGCTCCGTCGCCATGGCCTCCTCAGCATGATCCTTGGACTGGCCTCGTCCAGGCTTGGTCGATGCCATGGTTGGCCCCCTCGCCGTATGGTGCTCCTCCTGCGTACACGGGCACGTGGAGCCCCGGTCTTCATCCAGCCAGAGGCTCTCCGGGACTCCTTGGACCCAGGCCGCCGGCGCACGTCTACACCGCCACTCCTACACCGCCTACCAGCACGCCAGGACCACCGTCGCCCTACAACACCATGCCGGCCTTCTACGGCAACATTCAGGCCCCAATCGCATACTACCCATCCGCTATCCCCTATGTCAACATGCAAGTTCCTGGCCCCTCTGCTCCTCCCCAAAAGCCGGCTTGGGACCAAGCCGCCTTCATCAACGCCATGAACAATTTTGTCCTCAACGACGCAGGTACGGATTGGATTTTCGATTCTGGTGCATCAATGCATATGTCTTCAAATATGAATTTATTGTCAGCTTGTTTTCCTTCTACTTTTTCCACTATCACCATTGGCGATGGCTCCACCATCCCTGTTTCATGCACTGGTCACTCTTACATCCCTTCCTCTCATGCCAATTTTCTTCTACGCAATATTCTTGTGGTTCCTTCCATCATCAAAAATCTTATCTCTGTTAGACAATTTTGCATTGACAACAAAGTTATCCTGGCCTTTGACCCTTTTGGTTTGTCTGTGAAGGATCTGACAACGGGGGCGGTCCTCGCTCGGTACAATAGCACGGGCGATCTTTATCCTCTTCATGGCGCGCCCACATCCACCTCTCGTGCCATGCTCGCCTCTGTTGATCTATGGCATCGTCGTCTCGGTCACCCCAGCAAAAACACTTTGACGTCTTTACTCCAAGAATTTTGTATCCCTAGTTCTAGCAATCCTCATAATCCTTCTCTCTGTAATGCATGTCAATGTGGCAAACATGTTAGATTACCTTTTGGAACCTCTACTACCATTAGTACTTTTCCTTTTGAGTTACTTCACTGTGATTTATGGACCTCTCCAGTCCCTAGTGTTTCTGGTTAAAAATATTATCTTGTGATCTTGGATGATTATTCTCACTATACTTGGACCTTTCCTCTTCGCGCTAAATCTGAAGTACCTGCAATCTTTCTCAACTTTCGACAATATGTAATCACA